ATGGTGGCTCCAATTGGACCAAATCGCCCTTATTAGTATTCTTTATATAAAGAATACTAATGAAGAGGACTTTATCGGGTATAAAGTTCCATGCATGTGACGTGAATGGTGGCTCCAATGGGACCAAAGGCTTATGAATTATTCATGAGGTTTTGAATGTTGACTTAAAMTTTCTTAATTTTTTCTAGTCCTGATTGGGGCCTCCCAGCAACACCTGTCAACCTCAGCACCCACATGAATGGTGAGTCTCCTGTACAACAAGGTCCACCAAGTCAAGGTCACATCACAGACAGTTTAGATCAAGAAAGGCCAGTGAATGCTGAAGCCAGTGCCTGTAATGGTGAAGCAGCTTYCAAGAAACCAATACACTGTAGGTATTTTATTATTATGGTTAAACTAACAAAACCGTGCACACGTACATTATGTCTGTTATGTTAAACATCGTGTTCTGACCAATCACATGCAATAGTTAATTAGAAATGATAGAATATTAATTGCTTAACTTTTTCGGTGTTTTTATTTTATTTATTAATTTATTTATTCTTTTGGTCACAGCCGCTGGATCAGAGCCAGACTTTTTTTCTCTTTTTAATTCTACTTCAGGCTAACCTAATACTTTTTCCCCTGTTTTCCCCCCAGCTGCTGGATTAGAGCCTTTGCCATGCAGCAAGTGCGGGAAAGAGGGACGGCGTCGCTGTGGCAACTGCAAAATACCCTATTGTAGCAAAGAATGTCAACGTTCTCATTGGCCAGAGCACAAAAAGTTTTGCAATTGGAAAACTGCTGGMGAAAACTCAAAGAAAAATTTCGTAGATACATCACTAGAGAATGCATTGGCTACCACTCCAAACAGCTCTCAGACAAATGGCAATGACGAGAAAGAGATTGATGAGAACCCTTCTTTAAACCAAGGTTCTATTCCAAGTAGCTCTCAGACAAATGGCCATAATGCGAATGAAAGTGAGGAGCAGCCTTCTTTAAACCAAGGTTCTACTCCAAGCAGCTCTCAGACAATTTCCCATGGTGAGAATGAAAATCAAGAACGGTCCTCTACAAACCAAGGCTCTACTCCAAATCAAGATCCATATTTACTCAATGAGGATGATTTAGAATTCAGTGACATTTCCCAATTTGTAAACATGCTGGGGATAAAATTTGTGCCCATGTCTCCAGGAGACTCACCAAGTCCTCAAAATGTTTTGTCAAGTAAGAGTGAAGGCAGTGGCAGTCCGTTGTCTTCGCAGCAGGAACCACATTATGGTTTTTTGCAGCCTTTAAGGAGAGCCTCTCCAAGACCTCTCATTACAGAGATAAGCTCTTCTGTATCTGAGTCTGAAGATTCTCAAGAAAGCAGTTCAAGGACCACCCCTGTTAGGGATCAAGCTTCAATGTCTGTTGGTGCTACATCATCAGTTACTGGTCCCCAGAGTGAAGATCAATCGGTAATGACAACAAACCATGAAAAGACCTCCGAAGAACCTCAGAAACGTCCTTACAAGCGCTACTCCTTTGACGAAGTCCCACAGCAAAATGTGTCAATCGGTGGTTCCTATGAAATCGTAACAACTTCGGTATCATCTCCAAGGCTATTCTGGGCACAGCTTTACGAAGAATCTGCTTTGGCAAGCCAGAATTATTTGTATGAAACCATCAGAGAAGAATRCGAGAATACGGTATATACTACTTATGTTCCTTCACCTAATGAGCTTTGTATTGCACAGTTTTCAGTGGATAATAAYTGGTACAGGAGTAAAGTAGACTATATCTGTAACAACGGGCTGATAAGAGTGACTCACATAGACTTTGGTAGCAGTGAGGATGTTGAGCCTTCTAAAATACGAAGAATTAAAGAGGATTTGGTGCGAGTTCCAAGGCAGGGTATAAAGTTTGCCCTAAACTTATCAGGGTGCCCTGAATTATCCAGGGAATGGTCCTCTGAGACAATCGAGGCTTTCAGATCCAAAGTTTTAGACGTCAAGTGTAGAGTTGAAGTGAAAAAGGTCAAAGATTCCGTCCATTATGTTGATGTGTTTGACAGTACAGACAACACCAAGATTAATGACATTTTTAACGTAAATCAGCAGGAAGGATCAACCTTGGCCAAACCAGTGCCAATGTATCCACAAAGTAGCCAAACAGATACAGACACTGCAGAACGATACTCTCCCAGCAGTAATTTGAAGCCGTCATCACTGGAAAGAGCTGAAGACACCGTACCATCGTCTAGAGGTACAAGTCAAAGTTCACCAATTACCACTCAGGTATCGGCCAATCCTGCAACTCATGTATCTGGAATTGCCAGGAAAGATGCCAGCCCAGTAATGCATGATTATTCAACAAATGTTCCAGGAAACAGAGTCTCTCCGATGCTTGGTGCAGGCAGTGCCTTCTCACCAATCAAAAGCCCTTTAGCCAATCCAAGTGGTGGCGCTGGTAATGTTATGAAAACCCCGGATCAAGATACTCCAAGTTTCTGCAGTGAAATGCCGACTTCTCCAAATGTTCCAGCAAGCAGAGTCTCTCCGATGGTTGGTGCAGGCAATGCCTTCTCACCAATCAAAAGCCCTTTAGCCAATCCAAGTGGTGGCGCTGGTAATGTTATGAAAACCCCGGATCAAGAAACCTCAAGTTTCTGCAGTGAAATGCC